GAGGTTCAAAGTACTTATCCAAGATTCATGACCTTTCACGAGGATCCTTTCTTAGATCTTTTCAAAAGGAAATGTCTTGAACAATTTGCTATTGAATGTATACATTTTGAAGTCAAATCAGCAAAATTTGAATGGAAAGATACTAAGGAGAAGTCGCCTTACGATTTGAGGACAAATCGCCTAAAAGAAGGAGAGGATGATGTGATCATGTCTAGCACCAACTTTCTTCATGACACACTCACATCATTGAAGATTCATCATGCTCAATATAAGGGAGTTATACCTTACTTTATATTATATTTACTCATTTATGCACTATATATTATTATGAGCATACTTTTGCATCTTAAACTATGCTTGAATAATCATATATTTTCATTCACTTGCAACTATATGATTTTCATGCATAACATATGTTTTCACATCTTTACTTAGCTTTATATTATGTTTACATATGTTTTAGATTCATTTATTATGTTTGCATATCATTTAGATATCATGGAAGCATGTATTCATTTATTCATTAACTCATGTTATTTATTCTAGCTCATGTTATGTTTACATTAGCTCACTAGTTTTAAATCCATGTTTCTTTAGCTCATTTGTAGGCATGCATCTATTTTCTAGCTCATATATGTTTTCTTAAAGCTTGTGAACGTCCTATGCCTTTTATCTAGCTTATATACATGTTATCTTAGCTTCTAGATGATCATTCATAGCTCATATCACTTAAACACCTCACGACATCATGCATTTTACCCTAAATGAGCTCACACATTGCTTACTTGTTTTGTTTGTTAATTACTATAGGTGAAACACAAAGCAAGGCATATTATGGTAGCTTGGTTAGCTAAAAGGATAAGCATAGCAGCTCACACTAGCTCATGAACGTTATGGCAGCTCATTTCATCACTTAAAGAGCTTCAACTTAGCTGGAGAAGCTAGCATGTAGCTGAACCTAGTTGGAGGAGAGCTTTGGACTAAATTGTTGAAAAGTGGACTAAAGGTAGCTGGGAGTAGTTGAGGAGATGAGAAGACCAAAGCTAACTAGCTTGAGTTCATTAAGCTATAACTTACCTAGTTAGCTACCAAGACACTCACCTAGCTTACCTTGAAGCTAGTTCATCTCTAGGCTGCCCATTGACTTCAAGACATCATCCTATGGTTGCAACCTCACCAAAGCCTTGCAATAAGACCCTTGTGCGTTCAAGTAGGCTTTCATGTTCATCATTCAAGCATGTGCACTCCATATGACATCAAATAGGCGCCAAAACACCAAGGGATGCTTCCTATTCGGCCAAAGACTCCTTCCTCTCCATTTTGGCGCCCAAATAACTTCTAAATGCATTCAAATCATCCTTAGGGCCGAACCAACACATAACCATTCGGCCAAGAGCATGTATCTTCATTAAAATCATGTATTTTCATCAAAAATCATGTATTTTCAAAGGGGTTTCAACCTTGGCCGAACCATCATGTGTCTATTCGGCCTAAACCCTTTGAAAAACTATAAATAGGCTAGTGCATTTCATTTGTAATCATCTCATCTCTTATATAAACATACTCTTATGAGTTATTTCTCTTCAAAGTTCTTTGTGAACTTTATCGATTAAACAAGTATAGTTCCTATACTTGTGGCGTCATTCCTTCCATCTTGATTCCTAATTTCCTAGATTGATATCTAGTGGGTTGAAGACACTATCACCACCCCTCAAGCAAGTTTGTGAAGACCGGGATTATGCTTAATAGCATAGTTTCCTCTTTGGCGTGTTTGAGATACAACAACACCACCATTGTCGTTTCATCATCACCATCATCCATCTCTTCCATCAATTCCGCAGCCTTCTCTATCCTTTCTTTATTTCATTTCATTCTTATTATTTATTTTCATTACTTATATTATTATCCCCTTTATTAATTCCACTATTAATCATTATTTTCTTATCTTATTTTGCAGCCCAAACTTATAAATTCAAGGACATCAGTACTTGTCAATCCTAGATCGAGACACAATAAAGCTATCTACTCTTTTCATCAAAGTGTGTAGATTCACCTTACATCAGCCTAGTTGATAATGTCCTTCATATCATTCAAATATATGCTATGATTACATATCATTTCTTAGGATATTATTATTACATGTTTCCATTTATCATTTATTATGAATACCATGTTAAATGATATTCATGCATACAACATATATCCACAATGTTATTTCAAGCATGCTAAGTATGCTATATTAGTCTTGCATTCATTTAAGCAATATTATCACATAAACATCAAGGCAGCATAATTATCATTCATTTTATCAGCTCCTATGCATTCATTTTAGTACTTAGGCTTTATGCATTAGTTCATACATATTAGAAGATGATATATTTAGCTCATGACCTTCAATCATAGCTCACATTACCATATTCATACATGGCAACAAGGTATTTAGCTCATCTCGACTTACCTTGTTTCCTTGTACATATAGGTACATTGGATCATGATACACGTTGAGGTAGCTTGGTGAATGATTTGGATGACATATGCAGCTCACAAACAGCTCACAAAGTACATGTCAGCTCATGAAACACTAAGGAAAGCTCGATTCAGCTGAAGGAGCTTAAGGCTATCTAAACTCACCTAGTTGAACTATTTGGAGCTGAGTTGCCAAAAGTGATATCAATGGTAGCTGAATGTAGCTGAACATGTTGTTATGGAGCTCACAAGGCTCGACTTGGAAGCTTGTTCACAAACAGCCCATGATTGCTAGCTAGCTCTACACTCAAGCTAGCTTGGAAGGAGACACATGCACACCCAAGTTGGAGCACATGATCAACCATCATTCCATGCACAAGGTTGCACCACAAGGTTCCCTAGAACACCCATGTGCGTGCAATATGACCAGCCCCCATGTGCCTTGTGTGTGATATCATTTAGGCGCCAAGATGAAGAGCCCTCTCCCTATTCGGCCAAGCATCATCTCCCATCCAATTTGGCGCTAACATGAAGGGACACAAGAGCTATTCGGCCAAGGGTTATTACCCTCCATTTAAAATGAACCATCATCTCTATTTTGAAATTAAATTATGTCTCTATAGGAAGGCACAAAGCTGGCCGAATCCCCTTGTAACCATTCGGCCATGCCTCTCCATTTCCTATAAATAGGAAAGCATATTTTATTTGTAAGCAGACCTTTTTGATTAATATAAGTGAGATTATTCTCTTTCTTAAGTCCTTATGACTTTTATCGACTTATCAAGTATTTTAATACTTGTGGCGTCAACCCCTTTCTCCTTGTGGCGTCAACCCCTTTCTCCTTGATACTTCTGGTTCCTAGTTCTTATAACTTGTGGGTTAAAGTCCTTTATACCACCCCTTAAAGAAGCAATATAAAGTCTGGGTCTTTGCTCTCTATAGCATTGGTTCTTCTTTGAGTCTTCTTTAACATACTTCCTCACAACCATCCTATTATTACATTAACCAAACCCATAGCCGTATCAATTATCTTCCGCTTCCATCTCTCATTTATTAAACAACCTTCCTATTCACCTATACGTTTACCACCCTTAACCATCTCTTTTAAAGCATTCACTTATGCAGGTTGTTTTGCTTCCTTCCTAGATCCACAATCAATTGATAAGGTACAAGTTCCTTACATCAAGTGGCATCGATAGCCAAACAAGGTTACATCACTTTCCTTTCATTATTTTCCAATTTCCATTAACCTTTGTTGTTTCCTTTAGCCGACACATTTAACAGATTCTGAAAGATCAAATTTAGTTCGTAAAAGAACTGATTACAAGGGAACGAGTGGAAAAGGCATATTAAGCGTGTGAGATCAGAAGGGGAAATAGAAAAGAGCCATTAAAAAGTTTCTCCCAAGTGAAACACCAGTGTTGAGTGATTGAGTGCCAATTCTGATTACTTTGGAGTGAAATTGTGAGAATCTTTGTGTGTGTGTTGTGAGGTCTTATATACATTAATTTTTTTTGTGTTGTCTTTTTTTTTACTAATATGACAGGTTCTAATGATAGCAACTCGGGTGACAAACCACCAAACTTGCAAATGCAAGCCATTACCCGTGAGATATAGACGATGTTAAGGGCTAAACTTGAGGCTTTACAATCTAGAATTGATAAAATTGATGGAGGATCACAATCTCATCATAATGAAGAGATTAATGATGAAAACGAAATTGATTAGCCTCTGAAACTGAATCAGCGACATGGGCGTGCATTTGATGGTAATTTGGCTAACATAAAAGTTGTAATTCAATCTTTTCAGGGGCGAACAAATCCTGATGCATATTTGGCGTGGGAGAGTAAAGTTGATCACATTTTTTAGTGCTATAATTACTTAGAACAAAAGAAGGTTCGTTTGGCAGCAATGGAGTTTGTTGATTATGCTCTCATTTGGTGGGATCAATTATTGATCAGTAGACGAAGAACCGGTGAGAGTCCAGTGAACACGTGGGCAGAAATGAAACGAGTCATGAGAAAATGGTTTGTTCCATCTCATTATCATCGTGATTTATTTCAAAAGTTATAAAACTTGAAACAGGGTAATCAAAGTTTGAAGATTACTTCAAGGAGATGGAAATGGCCATGATTCGTGCAAATATCGAGGAAGATAGAGAAGCAACTATGGCATGTTTTCTTGCAGGTTTGAATTTTGAAGTTGCTAACGTTGTTGAGTTGTAGCATTATGTCGAGTTCGATGACATAGTGCATATGGCGATCAAAATAGAAAGGCAGCAACGTAGAAAATCTTCTTACTGAGGTAATACTCCATCTAAAATTTTATCTAATCCATTTTTCACTCCTAACAATGCCAGGAAGCAAGCACCACTTAAGATTAGGGAAAGAACAGAATCGAGTAATCCAAACCCTCTCGTTGTTGAAGTTTGACATGGAAAGCAACATATTCAACGAGAACACACAAGAGACATCAAATGCTTCAAATGCCTTGGTAGAGGGCATGTTGTAAGTCAGTGCCCTAACCGAAAGACAATGTTGATGCGTGTGAATGGGGATATAGAGTCCGAATCTGAATATGATGAGCAAGACACCCCTTTAGTGGATGATGATGAAGATGATGACCAATTACAGACTTGTGAAACAGGTGAAGCACTTGTGGTTAAGAGAAGTTTGAATGCACAACTGATTCAAGATGAGCAGCAGTGAGAGAACATCTTTCATACAAGATGTCTTATAAATGATAAGGTATGTGTTGTGATTATTGATAGTGGTAGTTGTACTAACGTTGCAAGTATTGTTGGTTGACAAGTTAGGGCTGAAAACGAAAAAGCATCCCAATCCATACAAGCTACAGTGGTTGAATGATGCTGGAGAGTTAAAGGTCACTAAACAAGTTCTTGTGGCATTTTTCATTGAAAAGTACAAGGATGAAGTGTTGTGTGATGTTGTGTCAATGGATGCCACTCATTTGTTGTTGGGACGTCCGTGGCAGTTTGATAAAAACGTGATGCATGATGATGGTTTCACAAATAAATATTCTTTTATGAATGCAGGTAAGAAAATCACCTTAGCACCTTTGACACCAAGTCCAGTGCAAGAAGATCAAGTTCGTTTGAAAATGAACAGTGAAGAAGCAAAAGGGAAGAAAAAGATGAACGTGTATGCAAGCAGAAAAGAAATCAGGAAATGTCTTTCCTCTCAGCAGTCTTTACTTATTTTAATGTATAATGAGCATTGTTTATTGGGTGAAATTCCCACTGATTTGCTTGTGTCTATTTCATCTCTTTTGCAGGAATTTGAAGACGTGTTTTTAGATGAGACACCGAGTGGATTGCCACCTATTCGGGGCACTCAGCATCAGATTGACTTTATTCCGGGTGCCACTATTCCAAATAGGCCAACATATCGAAGTAATCTCGAAAAAATGAAAGAAATTCATAAGCAAATCACTGAGTTGATGGAGAAGGGTTACATTCGAGAGAGCTTGAGTCCGTGTGCTGTACCATTGTTGTTGGTGCCAAAGAAGGATGGAACGTGGAGAATGTGTGTTGATTGTTGAGCTGTGAATCAGATTACTATCAAGTATCGACAGCCTATTCCTCACCTTGATGATATGCTTGATGAATTATATGGTGCGAGTATCTTTTCCAAGGTGGATTTAAAGAGTGGGTATCATCATATTCGAATGCAAGAAGGCGATGAATGTAAGACAACCTTCAAAATGAAATTAGGTTTGTATGAATGGTTAGTAATGTCTTTTGGTTTAACTAATGCACCTAGTACGTTCATGCGACTAATGAATCATGTTTTGCGACCTTATATTGGAAAGTACTACGTTGTGTATTTTAATGACATTCTTATCTATAGTAAGTCGTTGCGGGAACATTAGGAGCATTTGAGAAATGTTCTTGGCCATTGAGAAAAGAAAGGTTGTTCGGTAATTTACCAAAATGTGTATTTTGTACTAACAAGCATACCTTTCTTGGTTTCATTGTTAGTGGTTAGTGCCCAGGGTGTAGAAGTTGATCCTGAAAAGGTGAAGGTAATTCAGGAATGGCCTTGACCGACGTCGATAAGTTAGTTTAGATCTTTTCATGGTTTAGCTAGTTTTTATCATCGGTTCGTACCTAACTTCAGTACCATTACCGCACCCTTAACCGGGATTATAAAGAAGAATTCTATCTTCAATTGAGGTAATAAACATGAGTGATGTAAGGTGATCTACACGCTTTGGGAGAAGAGAGTAGATAGCCTTATTGTGTCTCGATCTAGGATTGACAATTACTGATGTCCTTGAATTATTAGCTTGGGCTGCAAATAAGATAAGAAAGAAATAAGATTAATATTGGAATAATGAATAGAATAATAATATAAATGATGAAATGAAAGAATAGGGATATAGATGGCTACGGAATTGATGGTCTTGATGGATGAAGTTGATGATGAAATGGAGATGGTGGTGTTGTTATATCTCAAGCACGCCAAAGATGAAACAATGCTAAAGAGCATAATCTCGGTCTTCACAAACTTGCTTGAGGGGTGGTGATAGTGTTCAACCCTCTAGATATTAATCTAGGAATTTTGGAATCAGGATGGAAGGAATGACGCCACAAGTATATGAATTATACTTGTTTAATCGATAAAGTTCACAAAGAACTTTGAAGAGAAATTAACTCACAAGAGTAATTTTTATATATGAGATGAGATGAGTACAAATGAAGGCAAGCCTCTCAATTTATAGAAAATGAGAGGGCTTGGTTGAATGGTTACATAGTGTTTCGGCTAGATACATGACTTTAGGAAAATACATAATGCTTCAAAATGAAAGAATATGTCTATAGGCTTGGTGTTGGTTTGGCTAACCCTTCATAAAGGAACTTGATGTTTCGAAAATGATGAGGGAACATCTCCCTTGGCCGAATGGTGACATGCCTCCTCAAATTGGTGCCAAATCTCATATGTGCAAGGCATGAGGTGTGGCCAAATAGTCATGGATCTCTATATCATGTCTCTTGGTGATTTAAGCCTCCAATGTTTGCAATTTCTTCACCGTGCTCTTGGATGAAAAGGCATCTTCATGGACAACATCATTCATGAAAGGTCACAATGTTTGGGAAAGTAACCCTTCATGTTTGTGTTACTTCTAGTGTGAATGAGCTGGAGGTGAGCTGGACATAGGTGACTTGTAGTATGGTGAACGTTATGGCAGCTCCTTGTGAAAAGGTATCTCTTGAGGTGGCAACTATTCGCGAAAAGGTGCGATTTCACAAATTTTAACTTAGGACATATTTGAAGTGTCCTAAGTGGTGATGATGATGGTGCAGCTCCCCAGCTGAAATGAAGTCATCTTATAGCTCAAATCTTCAACTCAATCCAGCTATGAGCTCACGGGCCTCCGGACAACTTTTCATCAATGAGTCCATATGCTCTCCTAAACGTCCCCATGTAAGTTTCCTTGCTGTTGCATGCTCGATTTAGCTCCAGTGTAGCTCCCAAGTATTAGCCGAATATGCCTACATGCATAACATAAAGAAATAAACTAAGTATATAAACTTATATAATGTATAATATAAGAATGTGAACTATAGGTTATTTAATATTCAATATGTAATATATTAAACAACATATTATCTATTGGTTCTTTCTCATTAAAAGATTTGAAAGCATTAAGGCACTTATGAGAAAGTACTTCCCTGAATTGTTTTGCCTTTGCACGAGTGATAGGTCCTTTGGGCATAACTTCATGATCTATTTGTGTAGTTGTGATCACATCATCCTCCCCTTCTTTTGAGTGATTTGTCCTCAAATCATCGTTGTCTTCAAATGGAGAAAGATCTGAATTATTAAAAGTTGCACTTACATTGTATTCACCAGGTAGATCCAATTTGTATGCATTATCATTGATCTTCTTGATGATTTGGAATGGTCCATCTCCTCTTGGTAACAACTTGGATTTTCTTTGGGAAGGGAAACGTTCTTTTCTGAAATACACCCACACCCAATCACCTTCCTCTAATTTTAGTGGCTTGCGTCCCTTATTTGCTTGTTGTTCATATTGCCTTGTCCATTTTTCTATAATGTCTCGAACTTGCTGATGAAGTTTTTTAACGAACTCACCCTTGCTCTTGCCATCTTTGTTGACCATGTGTTCCTGAGGCAAAGGAAGAAGATCTAGAGGTGTTAAGGGGTTAAATCCATATACTACCTCAAATAGTGACATCTTGGTCATTGAATGGACTGGCCGATTGTATGCAATTTCAACGTGTGGCAAGCATTCCTCCCAAGATTTGATGTTCTTTTTTATGATAGATCTCAACAATGTTGATAGTACTCAATTCACCACTTCGGTTTGTCCATCTGTTTGAGGGTGACATGTTATGGAGAATAGCAACATTGTTCCAATCTTACTCCATAACGTCCTCTAGAAATGGCTAAGAAATTTGACATCTCTATCGGAAACTATGGTTCTTGGAACGCCATGTAATCTCACAATTTCTTTGAAGAACAAGTTGGCCACATGTGTTGCATCGTCTGTCTTGTGGCATGGTATGAAATGTGCCATCTTGGAAAAACGATCTACTACAACAAATATTTAATCTCATCCATTCTTGGTCCTTGGTAGTCCCATCACAAAGTTCATTGATATGTCAACCTATGGTGCTTGAGGAATAGGTAAAGGCATGTAAAGTCCATGAGGCATAACCTTTGATTTTGCCCTTTTGCAAGTGACACATCTTTCACATACCCTTTCAACGTCTCTCTTCATCTTAGGCCAATAGAGGTGTTGTTTCAGAATCTCCAATGTTTTTCTTACTCCAAAATGACCCATGAGACCTCCTTCATGTGCTTCTCGAACAAGAACTTCTCGAAGGGATCCTTGAGAAATGCATAGATGCCCTTCTTTGAATAAATACCCTTCGTGCCTATAAAAATTTTCATATGCACCTTTCTCACAAGCCTTATACTTTTCTTCAAAGTCATGGTCAGTAGCATAACAATCTTTAATATATGAAAACCCAATTAACTTTGAATCTAGAGTATTAAGGAGAAGATACCTTCGAGAGAGAGCATCGGCTACAATGTTTTCTTTACCTTTCTTGTAATGAATGACGTAAGGGAATGACTCCAAAAAGTCCACCCATTTGGCATGTCGCTTGTTCAACTTATATTGGCCTTTGATATGCTTTAAGGCTTCATGGTCGGTGTGTATAACGAATTCCTTTGGTAGAAGATAATGCTGCCAAACTTCAAGTGCCCTTATGAGAGAATGCATCTCTTTGTCATAAGTTGGATAGTTTAGCAAGGCACCATTCAACTTTTCACTAAAATATGCAATGGGTCGTCCTTTTTTAGTCAAAACAGCCCCAATTCCGATTCCAGAAGCATCACATTCCACTTCAAAAGTCTTATCAAAGTTAGGTAATGCAAGTAAAGGTGCCTTGGTTAAACATTCCTTCATTTCATTGAAGGCATCTTCTTGTTCTTTGCTCCATGAAAAGATAGAATTCTTTTTAATGATCCCTGTTAAGGGGGCAGTAATAGAACTAAAATTAGGCACAAACCTTCTATAAAAACTTGCAAGACCATGAAAACTTCAGACTTGACTTATTGAAGTAGGCTTAGGCCATTCTTGAATGGCTTTGATCTTTTTAGGATCAACTTCAAGTCCCAGTGAACTTACAATAAAGCCTAAGAAGGTTAAACTGTTAGTGCAAAAGACACATTTCTTCATATTTGCATAAAGATTTTCCTTTTGAAGGGTTTCAAGAACATACCTCAAAGTGTTGCGCATGTGATTCCAAGTCATGACTATAAATAAAAATATCATCAAAATAAACCACACAAAACTTACCGATGAATGGGCTGAGTACATGATTCATTAACCTCATGAAGGCACTTGGAGCATTTGTTAAACCGAAAGGCATCACCATCCATTCTAACAATCCTTGCTTTGTTTTGAATGCGGTCTTCCACTCGTCTCCTTCTCGCATTCTGATTTGATGATATCCACTCTTTAAATCAATTTTAGAGAGCATAGTGGCTCCACTCAATTCATCAAACATATCATCAAGTCTTGGTATAGGATGTCGGTACTTGATGGTAATTTGATTGATAGCACGACAGTCTACACACATTCTCCATGAACCATCCTTTTTGGGCACAAGTAACACCGGAATAGCACATGGACTCAAACTCTCTCGTATGTATCCTTTTTCCATCAATTCTTCAACTTGTTTCTGAAGCTCCTTAGTTTCTTCAGGGTTACTTCTATATGTTGTACAGTTTGGAATGGATGCACTTGGTATGAAGTTAATTTGATGCTCGATCCCTCTAATAGGTGGCAATCCACTAGGGATATCTTCTGGAAATAACTCTTCAAATTCCTGCAATAAAGATGAAATAGAAGAAGGCAAGCCTTCTGGAATGTTTATCAAAATTAAGCTTTCCTTCTACCTAAGTACAATTAAAGCTTTGTAGGATAACAAATGTTTCCTAATGTCTTTTCCTCCAGCATATATGTTTATCTTCGTTGGTTCCTCCTCCTTGATAGATTTGAAA